CTAGCGAGGACTATACTGAACAAGTTTTTGGGTAGTGAGGAAGGTTTTGGTTAAGTTCTGTATCTTGAGCGAGACTGCGGCCCCCTCAGAGTTCGTTCGAGTTCATCTCTGATGTTATTTCCTTATTACTGCTCTTTGATTTCTACTCTTAGATAGTCACTACAGCCTTGTATTGTCTACTCGCTCGCTGTTTGCTTTCCGTAAGAAAGTTTTGTGTAAGGCATAAACAACTTTTCCGTGCTGCTCTAAATGTTAAAATGTGTTTATAGAAAATGCATGTTGATTGTTTTTCTACCTTCGGGCTCATATGTGATGTTATTTCCCTATTTCTCCCCTTTGCTTTCTGCCCTTAGACAATCGTTGCAACCTTGTATTGTATCTCGGTGGCTGTTTGTTTTTTGTAACCAACTTTTGTGTACGGTTCAAAGTGTTGGAATGTGTTTGTGAATAATGCAATTGCTCCGCTTGACAACTTGCGTGATTCTACAATTGTTATTTCTTACCTCTTTGAATTATGGCGCTATGCATGTTAATGCATGTCGAATGATCAGAAGAAGAGAAAATAATGTAAGATTTCTTTTCCCTTTTTTCTCAAAATGATATATCTTCTTTCTGTCCTTGTTTGTCGGCGAAAGCACTTTCGAAAAATTGTGAATAGTTGATGAGAGAGAAAAATTTCTTGTGTTTTCTTTGTTGTTTTTGATAAAATATCTCTTCGTTCTGATCTATGAATCGTTTCAGAACAATGCGAACGAAGCTTGTGAAAATATATAAATAAAGTTTTTTTCCAGTATTGATCCTTGTGTTGTTTTAAGATATAGAACGATTGATATATTTGGATTTTCGGAAAACATGTTGACTTCTAATATGGAAAGACTAGGAAGAGAAGTACGTCTTAGTCTAAAACGATTAACTGTACAAAGCAGGACAGACAAACAACACACAGGTAAGTAATTATATGCGCACTGTAAGTGACAAGCTATATGTGTTAAAGTTTTTAACTTAGGTACATTTACCACAAGAGAAGAAACAATAAGGGGACAAGACGAACAGGGAGAACAAGATGAACAACGTAAACAAGATACACAAGGTAAACAAAATGAAGAAGATGGACAAGAGGAACAAGAGGAATTGCCAACCATTGATTATAAGTGTTTTCTCACAGTCATTTTTTTCTTTTCATTATTTAGAAAGACATCAATTAACACAAGCATCACAAGAAGAAGGTTCAGCCATGGAACGCCAACATCGAGGTACACTCGAGAACGTTTTCTTTACAATGCTAATACTGCGCTTGCAGATAATGAAAAACTAAAGCATTTGTGTAATCTAAAAATCGAGTTTCTTCTTTGAGATCGGTTTGCGGCATTACGTGAACGAGTGCAACAGCGCTTACAACAACGATCACAATTACAAACATGTTTTCTTCGAACACAGGCAACACAAAGCAACGAAAGTACGAGAGAAATACACTGTGTCTCGTTTTCTTCTTTAATATTTTTGTTTCTCTCAAGATTGGGATGAGCCAGAACCACAACAACCAGCAAGAATAACTTCAAGCGAAATTGAAGGACAAACAGGTGATACATAACCGCATATACATATAGCGGCATCGAAAAGGAAACAGCTTCGTATTTACTCTACAGTTCTTCTTTCTAGGACCATTATCCGTTTGTCAAGTGTACATTAGTGGTCTGCCTGAATGCGTAACAAATAATCAACTTAAAATGGTTTTCTCCAAAAGTGGCCCAATTAAAGTACTTCAACCATTACAGTACCGTTGCATCGATACATTTTCCAGCTTTTTTAGACCGTTGCTGGAATAGAACAAATTTACAAGTATCCGATGTTGGTAAATGGTTTTTCGTGCGCATCCATCGAATATATATCACCACAGTATGGAAGTCAAGCAATAGCTGATTACAACAGTAAGTCGTTAAACTATTTAAGTATGCAACGCTCGTGCAATACGTTCTTTTAGATGCATCATTATTCATATTTCAAAATAATTTAATCAAGGTTGAGTTCAGTAAAAATTACTACAAGAAATATATTGCTCACAAGAGGCATCAATAAAACTGGATCAAGCAACTCAAGAAAAAATAAATTATGCTATTTTTTTGTAAATAATTGAAACAATGTCGGATATTTTCGCATAATAAACAAACGTACAAGTGTTTTTGTTTCTGCATTACCTTCGAACGTACCAAGTAGGAAGTATCATAGCTTTGAACATCCTCTCGCTTGAACTACTCAAAAATATCGTTTGTAGAGAAACCTTTATTTTTTTCAGATCTTTCTCTTTTCTCTTCTTGTTTATAACAATCTTATTTACTCTAGATGCAAGAGAATAATTGAGTGTGTAGTTATGTGTTTTGTCATGATAAAAGATAATTTTTAACACGCAACTGTTACTCAAGATTCAATCTGAGCTTCGAATCGAGACGCTTGTTGATGTCATATTAAAGGAATAAACGATTCTATAGTTCTACATTTTATGTAAGAAAAAAAGCTTTTTAAACACGTGACGTTGCTCATAATTCAATTGCAGCTTCGACGCAAGTCATTTTATTGAAATTTCATTTATGGTACATTTAGAGAATAACTGACTCTATGATGCTGTGTTTCTTTACGCGAAAAGAACTTTTTCACGTTCAATATTATCTATTTCAAACTTCTAACACAGTTAACTAGTAATAACTTAGAATGTAACTTAGTTTTAATAATAAAATC